CGGTGGAGCTCCCTATGGGGCCACGAAACGCTGCCCTGGGTGGGGGACCCGCATGCGAGAGCAGCCACTGGGGCCTTCGGTGGAGCCCCCCTATGGGGCCACGAAGCGCTGCCCTGGGTGGGGGAACCGCATGCGAACACCCACACTGGGGCCTTCGGTGGAGCTCCCTATGGGGCCACGAAGCGCTGCCCTGGGTGGGGGAACCGCATGCGAACACCCCCACTGGGGCCTTCGGTGGAGCTCCCTATGGGGCCACGAAACGCTGCCCTGGGTGGGGGAACCGCATGCGAACACCCCCCACTGGGGCCTTCGGTGGAGCTCCCTATGGGGCTACGAAACGCTGCCCTGGGTGGGGGAACCGCATGCGAACACCCCCACTGGGGCCTTCGGTGGAGCTCCCTATGGGGCCACGAAACGCTGCCCTGGGTGGGGGAACCGCATGCGAACACACCCACTGGGGCCTTCGGTGGAGCTCCCTATGGGGCCACGAAACGCTGCCCTGGGTGGGGGAACCGCATGCGAACACCCCCGCTGGGGCCTTCGGTGGAGCTCCCTATGGGGCTACGAAGCGCTGCCCTGGGTGGGGGAACCGCATGCGAACACCCCCACTGGGGCCTTCGGTGGAGCTCCCTATGGGGCCACGAAACGCTGCCCTGGGTGGGGGAACCGCATGTGGACACCCCCACTGGGGCCTTCGGTGGAGCTCCCTATGGGGGCACGAAACGCTGCCCTGGGTGGGGGAACCGCATGTGGACACCCCCACTGGGGCCTTCGGTGGAGCTCCCTATGGGGCCACGAAACGCTGCCCTGGGTGGGGGAACCGCATGCGAACACCCCCACTGGGGCCTTCGGTGGAGCTCCCTATGGGGCCACGAAACGCTGCCCTGGGTGGGGGGACCGCATGCGAACACCCCCACTGGGGCCTTCGGTGGAGCTCCCTATGGGGCTACGAAACGCTGCCCTGGGTGGGGGAACCGCATGCGAACAACCCCACTGGGGCCTTCGGTGGAGCTCCCTATGGGGCAACGAAACGCTGCCCTGGGTGGGGGAACCGCATGCGAACACCCCCACTGGGGCCTTCGGTGGAGCTCCCCATGGGGTGCCACGAAACGCTGCCCTGGGGGGGGAACCGCATGCGAACACCCCCACTGGGGCCTTCGGTGGAGCTCCCTATGGAGCCACGAAGCGCTGTAATGGGTGGGTGAAACGCAGAGAGGAGGGAGGAGAGGGAGGAGGAGGGAGGAGGAGGGGGAGGAGGAGGAGAGGAGGAGAGGAGGAGAGGAGACGCGGGCACCGTCTCTTCAAAACGAGGACCCAACACCACAGGATGGTTGGGAAATACAAGAGATTTGAAGCAGACCCCGTATCAGGCTCCCACAGAGCTGCGACGAGGTAAATGAACGGGAAGCGAAAGAGGGAAGGGAGGGAGGGAGAACTTGAGCGGAGAACACAAACATAACGTGTTATGTCAGAACGGCGCCACCAGACTTTGCGCCGCCCCCGCCCTCCCCGCCCACCGACCACTTAACAGACGGGGGAGGGGGGAGGAGGAGAGAGGACCACGGCCCGAAAACTTCATTGTTTGCAACAACACACATTTAGAGGCACGGGTCACTGTCTCTCTCCAAGCGGGGGGCGGCGGAAGGTGGCGCCAGCCTAAACTGAACTCTCTATTTTCTGCCTGAACCGTGGACATGATGCCGCCGAGAGCGGCGGCAGAAGGCAGAAGGTGACGGCGGGGTCTGCACCGCAAAAAATTACAGAGATTTGAAGCAGACCCCGTATCAGGTCCCACACCACCGCATAGCTTGCATTAGCGCCTGGCTGCGGCGGCGCCTGGGCTGGGTGGGAGGGTTCGGGCGCCCCCCACAGCCGTCACACATTCACAGCCTCGGCAGGGCTCCAAAAAACTCCGTAGATCATTCACAACACGACATGGATCACTCACGAGCCTTTTCAGGGCGACCACTCTTCTTGTGAACCAGTGGGCTCCCGCGCTCAAAGATGTCTGGCGGGAGCGCGGCGCGGGCGGTCACCAGGGCGTGCGTCTTCATATACCTGAGCACGCTCTTCTCTGAAGCCCACCGCCCGCGCCGCTGGATGGCCCACACCGTCCTGTAGCCCGTCGCCGCGTCGTGGCTCGGCCCCGAGTGCCTGGCAGCATGGGGCGGGAAGTGCTCGACACCGGCGTCGTCGCAGGCTCGCCTCAGCGCCCGGCGGTGGGCATCCACCGAGCAGCTGAAGACCCGGTCCGAGGGGTCTCGCTCGGACTTCCTGCGCACGAGCATGTCACTCACATGCCGACGGTCGATCAGCACGCCCTGCCTCACGCCCGTCTTGGTCCTCTCACCACGCTCGGCCACCCCGAGTCGTAGAGCAACAATCTGCTCGCCCGCCTCGTCCACGTCGACCACGATGTCGGCCGCCCGCAGGGCGAACAGCTCCGCGGACCTGAGGTAGGCGTCCAGGGCGACCTCGGCGGCGTCAGCGGCCTCCACGCTCCCGGCCAACCTCATGGCCTCGTCCAGCACGGCCCAGAGCTCGAGGGGCTGGGGCCCCCCTTCTCCCGCAACGTGAAGTCGATGCCAAGCTCGAAGAGCTCGGTTGGACCTCGGCAACCCCGTCGAGAGCTCGGGCCACACGTAGGCAAGCCCGTGCACAACGAAATCTCCTCGATGCGGACCCACCTCCTCGTCCTCGACCAGGCGGTCCAAGTAGCAAAGAACGGAGTCATCGATCTCCTCTCGGCTCATCATCGGCAGGTTCACCTCTAGCGCGAAGTTCAGGAAGCGGCGCACGTTGGGCACGCAGCAGCCCAGCGCCGTCTTGGTGGAGACCGAGAACGGCAGCAATGCCAGGCCATAGGTGGTTCTCTCCCGCCGTTGCACCCCCTGTGGGTGCGCGCCCTCCGCGTCGTTCCTGCGGTGGGCATTGCCCATCTTGCGGTGCTGAGCGTGGCGCCGTAGCCTCTCTTCGCCGACGGCGTCCGATAGAAAGGGTAGCAGCAGCCAACCCAGGAGCACAGACCACCGCGGGCAACAGGACCGGCAAGCGGCCCCGGTCGACGGCTGCTCATCATCCACGTCGGGCTCCCCAAGACGTGGCGATCGTCGACGGTCAGGCGCCTGGTCACCAAGTCGAACCCGAAACATCGCACGAAGATCTTCCAGCTCCGTCCAGTGTTCCTGTTGTAGCCGCTGTCTCTCCGTCGGAGTCGCTTCTCGAAAGCTCGCGACCAAGCGATCCGTTTGATCTTGCGTCGCCCTCCAGGTGCTGCTGCAAAGATCTCTGATGATGTCGGTGATCGCGCGGCGAGGTAGCCCGCGGACGAGTAGGCGCCTCAGAGCCTGATTGGGGCCGCTCAGCAGTACATCCGCCAGGAAGGCCACGCACCACTCCTGCCACTCGGTAGCATCGGTGGCCCGCTGCGTGAGGTCGCTGAACCATTGCTGCGCCCAATCCTGTAGATCTTGCATCATGTCGACATAATCTTGCACCGCTTGCGCTCGAACATCGTCGGGCATGGGCGGGGGCCGGCCCATCGCACATGGACTTCCGCCCCCAGTCAACCCGAGGCTCGAAGGAAAGCTGCAGGTAATGAATCCAGCAACGTAGCGCCCCGGCGCCTGCGCTCCAGGGTCTCTGAGATCAATTGCTCCACGGCCCTCTCGGTCAGGTCGGCCCCCCGTCTCCCCTGCATGGTCAGCATCGCGTCCACGTGGCACTCCGCCAACATCCTGCAGAAGTCGGAAGGGTACGCCTGGGCCACCCTTGTCCGAAAGCGACCGCTCTCGTCCTTGCCACAGAGGCTCGCCGAGTGGTTCTCGCGCACGCAGGGACGAACAAACCGCTGCATCCCGAAGGCCGCCCCCGCGAGCGTCGTCAGCTTCAGCGCGGGGCAGCCCCACATGCACTGCGGGAAGGTCACTCGGTAGGCACCCAACTGGGCCTCCCAGTCCACCAGCTCCTTGGTCACGAAGATCGATGGAAACGGCGGACAGCCCGGATCGGCAGGATGCTCGATGGAGACCGAGCCACCCGCGAGCCCGATCGCCTTCAGGATCCTCAAGCTGCTCAGCAACTGCGCATTCCCAAGCTTCACCTTCTTCGCGTCGCCCCCTCGCAGACCCGGCCGACCCCACAGCTGATCTCGCAGACGCAGCGGAGGGGGGCCTCTAGGCTGGAAGCGAACCCGCGACCAAGTAGAGCATGAAGGGCCTGAGTGCCCCCCATCCGTCTCCACTTCTGCCAGCAGCTCCAGCCTCCGCACGTTGACCTCGTCCGTCAGGTCGAACTCCGCCCCGAAGCCGATGTCCACGTCGGTGCAGATCATCAGGTAGCCTCGCGAGCCCGCGATCCTGAGCAGCCAGCCCCAGGTCCCCGATGCGCGCGTGGCCACTGCAGAGGTGGACGAAGCGCAGCACCTTCACCGGGATCGAGACGCCCATCCTGAGCGGCTGGAAGGGGTCCACCTCCGCCAAGTCCGCCAGGGCCTCGATGCTCGAAGCCACCTCCTCCGGCAACACCAGCTCGTCTCTCCTCCGCTCCTTCGGGGCCTGCCCAATCGGAAAACCTCGGCTCGGCCCGTCGCTGTGGTTGCGGTCCGACGGCACCCAGCGCCAGTACTCCCGCATGCCGCACCCAAGGTCGAGGGCTGCCATTCTCCTGCACAAGATCAGAATGGGCCGGCTGGCCGATCTGCCCTTGCTGAAGCCGCCGAAGCAGACCATCGAGTCCGTGATGCGTCAGTGCCTCTTCCCCCAGCTCGCCCGGGCGCGGGCCGAGTGCCTCGCCGCGGCCACCCCCGCGCGCATCTCCAGCAAGTTGATGCGCCCCTTCTCCTCCCAGCGCCAGCGCACAACCTCCTTCCACCGAGCGATGTCGCCCCAACACTCGTGCACAGGCGGAACGCGGATCCGGGCACCCAACTCCACGTCGGCGCCCACGCGTCTGAAGGCCCCCCCCTCGCACCAAGCGTCCGCAGCCCAGGACGAGGAAATGCCCGCCCAGACGGTCCAGCCTCCTCGAACTGCATTTCGTGCTTCTCGACGCTGCTCCTCCACCGTTGCCACCGTAGAGATGAGCGCACCGCCGTAGAGACTCGCATCGAACATCATCACCATCGGGCCCCAGGGCGTCGAGAGGTCCACCGAGATCAGCGGCACCAAGGCCGCGGCCGCAGCCAACTCTCTCAGCACTTCCCGCGGGACCTCGCGCCGAGCTCCACCTCGGAACTCCATGCACCATGCGCACGCGTCCGCGAAGACGCTCAAAGCACCACGGCAGATCAGGAAGCCCCAGGACAGGATACCAACGATCCGCGCGACGGTGTCGGGTAGTTCCCACTTGTGGATCAGGATCTCCCGTATGCCGAAGACCGCCAACCACATCTTGTCCTGGTTCGGCGCCAGACGAGTTCCCCGAAGATCGCCACCGATCATACGAGCGTCCGCCGCGCGAGCATCCTTGTGCACCTTGAAACCCGCGGACACCACCAACTCCTTGGCACCGAGCCAGATCTCCTCCACCGTCGTCGCCGCCTCCTGGCCAGGCCGTGTCGGGAAGTCCAGGCCCAGGATGCCGAAATCGTCGATGTACTCGTAGTGCGCAGCAGGTAGATCCCGACTGAGATGGGGCAACGGCCCGCCTTCGGCCAAACGTTGGTCGCCTGAAAGCGAAGAAAGCCCGAACTGAGGCCCAGTATTGAAGATGTCCCCCATGGTCGTCTGAGCTATCCAGCACGCCCAGGAGAAGCCCACCAACGCAACCTTTACCCCGACGTAGGGCCCACTCCCAGGCAGAGACGAACCTTCGGGAAGCAGCGAGTCCAGCGCATCCCCAGACACGCCGGGCAGCACGAAGTACGGCGACAGCTCCTCCCCCAGCTCCAGCGTATAGTAGAAGTCGGGGAGGTCGCCCGTCCCGAAGCACATGGTCACGCCATCCTCCTTCATCTCCTCGGACACGTCCAGAAACGACATCGCACTGACGCCGCCCATGGCACACCACGGGGGAGACCGCCATCGCATGTTGGAGCGCCTCTGGTCGAACACCAGCCTCAGGGTCACCTCGGGCTCGCTCCCCACCAGCTCCGCCTTCTTCACGACGCAAAAGAGACCGACCTCGTCCACCTTCGCTGCGGTGCGGCACAACATCCCCGCCAAAGCCATCCGTCGGGCCAGCTGTAACATGTCCTTCTTCTTGCGGAAATGCGGGTCCACGTAGTTGCGTATCTCGCAGGCCTGAACACAAGCCTCGCCATCCTCTCTCAACATCTCCTCCTTGAACATCTCCAATTTCTGTGCCACGCGAGGCGACGCAGACCTCACACTCACAGGTCTGGTCCCCGGAGGAGGTAGAGCGACTCGGTCCCATTGAGCTGGAAACGTCTCGCCCCTGTCCGGCAGCCGTCCACTTCCGCCAGCACTCCTCCTCCGAAGTTCGGCCACCCTCTGTTTGAAGGTTGACTGGGACTGATGGCCCGCCGCCGAGGCAGCGGGACGCAGCCGCAAGAGCGCGGCCCCTTGTGAGGGCGTAGTCGAAGGCGGCGACTGGCGACGAACTTCTCCCAGCACCCGCCGAGAAAGGTCCCCGCCCAGGCTGTCGGGCACGATCCCCTGGCACCAGCAGTCTGCCAGGCCCAGGAGACTGTCGCCCAGACTCCCGCGGTAGAGCTGACGCAAAGCCAAGAGAGAACGATTCGCCGTGTCCACCAGCTCCATCTCCTCCTTCCAGCGCGACAGCACCCGACGAGAAGTCGAAGCGGGGCGCTCCGGGCGAGCGAACAGCACCACCTCGGACAGGATGTCCCGCCGCCGCGACATGAAAATCCAAATTCGTCGTGCAAAAGCTCACGGGCCAGCCGACGGCGATGATGCGAGTCAGCTGCAGCAGAAAGAAGACACTAGCCAAAACTAGCCGACGCGCAGGGACACCACGACGCCAGCTGCAAGGGCCCCCCGGCTCGGAACCGAGTAGCCCCACTTGAAGCTCCTTGACTCTCACGGCGGGGCCACCGCACCCCCGCCCAGGTCGGAGCGCGCCTTCATCAGCTGCGCGTCGCGACCCATGGCCTTCTTCATTTCTTCCTCGGCGCTCATTACCCGAATAGTGCTCTCGTCGGCGAGCTGGGGGTCCAAGCGACGCGCCGCCTCCCAGTCCACCTTCGACTTCCAGTTATTGGCATCCTTGGGGCGGCTCCAATCGTCGCGGCTGTTCACGTTGCGGCAAGCCCTCACAATGGCGTAGCCCTTTCGCGCCAACCGCTCGAAGCTCACCAGGTTGAGGAGTCCCCTCTGACGATCTGTCATCAGCATCGTGTCCACCGCGGCGAAGGCCGCGATCATCTCCCGAGCCGCGTGGCAGTCGCTCAGGCCGCGGTCCCTGATGAAGTCCCGCGCCCAGGCCTCGGCCGTCTTGCCTGACGAGTAGATCTCCGACAGTACCTCGGCCGATATCCGCTGCCGGTAGCCCTCGGGCATGCGGCTGTTCCACTCCTCGGGCTCGATCTCCTTGCACTCGTCCAGCTGCTCCATGAACACCTGCTGCGGCAACTGAGCCTTGAAGCGCATCCGCTTGATGGCCAGCTCGACGGCCTCCGGCTGCGAAGAGGCAACTCGCTTCTCGGGCGTCTCCATCACCACTGTGGGGGCACTCTTCGCGGGCGACCCGAGCACGGCGACTGCAGAAGCCGAAGAACTCGCCCCCTCGATAGCAGCACCACGCTCGCCAGCTCCAGCCTCCGCAGGCGCCTCGCCCTTCAGACGAGCCTCGAACTGGTCCAGCCGCGCATTCATGCCCTCGATCACCTGCTTGTTGGCCTCGGCGTCCGCACGACCACGCGAGTCCAGAGAAGCTTCGAGTACATCTCGACGTAACTCCCTCGTCCTCTCGGCGGTCCTGATCTCGCTGATTTCCTCCATCATGCCCTTCTGGGACTCCACGAGATCGTTCAGCTGGCTTGCCAGCGTTGCACTCTCTCCGCTTGACAGGTAGCCAAGCGGCGGCACGGGCGGAGGCACCGAAGCAGTCGCACCGACGGGCACATCCACACTCGAAGCACTGGAGGACCCAATAGAGGACTCTCCATACTCCACGTTGTCCGACCACTCGTGAGCCGCCCAGAGGGTCAGAAGGATCAGGGACAAGAACATCGCAAACCAACGCTGAAGAGGCATCAGATTCTGGGCCCACTCCTTCCACTCCCACAGGTAGGTGGCCCACTCCTGGACGACCTCCGAGCTCTCCACGAAAGCATCCTTGGCCGTGACCAGGTAGCTGATCGTGTACACCCAAACCTCCTTCATATACTCGATCACGCCCAGCAACACCAGCAGCTCGTACAATACGAACAACGCGGCCAACACACCCAGGAAACGCTTGGGACTCCTCAAAGACCACCTCAGCGTCTTGAGTGACGAAGCCCCCGAGCTGAAAACGGCATACAGGACGTTCACCGCGATCGCCTGCTGACCACCCTTGCCGGGGCGATAAAGAGGCAACATCGGCACCGTCGACGCCCTCAGTCCCTCCGTCGCCTGGCTGACGTAGGCGTCCCTCCGGGCTGCAGAAAGAGGTGGCATCGGCCGCCACCGAATCCCCGCCACTGGATCCGTGAACATGGACGTCTTCGCCGTGATACAGATCAGGCCAAGCGTCAAGTCCGGACCGATGACGGCCCACACGTTGCCACTCTTGCGGCGCACCAACTGCACCTCCACACCGTCGGTCGCACTCTGGCGGTAGAAGCGCCGCGACCATGGCTCCACTGGCATCTGTAGCTCGAGACCCTCGACCTCGTCAGCTGAGTCCTGTTCCACGCTAGGATCACTCACCAAGGAGAAGAGCGACCACACCAGGAGACCGAACGGCCAGCACCCGAAGCGAGCCGTCTCGTCGGCGCTCTGCAGCGCACTCGCCGGCAGGTCCGGCACCTGCCCCTCGTCGTAGCACTCCAGCCCGACCAGATCCCACGAAGAGCAGCCCGAACTGTCGGAATCGCCCGCACTGCTGCCGCGCGGTGAGCAGAGGAAGAAGTACTCGGGCGACGCCGCAGAAACCTCTGCAGGCATGCTCGAGCCAAAGAACTTGAGCGGAGAACACAAACATAACGTGTTATGTCAGAACGGCGCCACCTGACTTTGCGCCGCCCCCGCCCTCCCCGCCCACCGACCACTTAACAGACGGGGGAGGGGGGAGGAGGAGAGAGGACCACGGCCCGAAAACTTCATTGTTTGCAA